TATCTTGGCATTTTGTCAATCATATTTAATAAATTGACAAATCTTCTGCTTAAAAATCTAAAATTATTATTACCCATATCTGCTAACTATCACTGCCTCAAATGCAGTCAGCGTGGACCTGACAACATCCAAAATCAGGTCATAAAAGGCCAACGTTGTCCTATTTGGAGGTTGTTAGAGCCAAAAATTTTAACTTGACAGGTAAATGGGGTCAAACTTGTGCCAGGCAAGTCTTACTGCTGCCCTCCTGTTCTGGCATCACATCAATATGAAACCCCAGCAACATCAATGTAGACAAGTATATTAACTGACATTGCAAAATCGTTTCACAAGTATATGACAGTTGTACTGCAGCCACAACTGCATACAGTTCTTTACTGTCTATTGCAGGATCCATAAGAACAGTTCTTACACACTCAGTATAGCGTGTCAAAATATGTCAGTAAAAACACAGTATTTTTTGGAAACAAAACCCCCCAGGGAGCTGCAACTTACTTACATATGGCGAGTTGCAGATGTCGCCACATGTCAACCAACACTATCTTATGGAAAGTAATAGCAGCCACAGTTTCGTCCTGCTGATATAAACATGTCAATGTCACCACTTACATGCACGGAAAGTTAACAAGATGTATACACCAGACAGGTTTAAGCTTTGACTTTCAGTTGTCGGTCTTATGTCTGTCTGGTGGAATAGATACTCAGTGCAGTCGTCTACACTTGCACTTGCACAGGGGTAACAGTGAGCCAAAGTGTTGCTTGGATTTCAAATCTATTTTCCCAAATAAACCCCCGCAACTACATTGATTGTGCATTGGGCTGTGAGCACTGTCTAAACACTCATGAGTGCACAATGCACTGTGGCTGAAAAAGCCTGAATTTCTTTGGTTCCTACTTACTAAGACCTTGAGTTACTTAAAAAATAATGAAAAAGAGCAGCAGATGAAACTTCACAGTTTTGTGTGACAGACTCTGCAAGATGCTTTTCAAATATCCTGCTTGTTTGACAAGGAAAGGATTTTGGTTGTGGCACTTGGGAAGAGAGGGAGCCGACATACTCACAGCAGAGTGGTGACAAGGCCCTGCCAAATGTTCTCTCTGAGTATTTGACTTAAGTCCCCCTTGAACCTGTATTGACTTAGTCCCATCTGTAAATTGGTGCCTGCCTTATTAAGTGTTAAAGAGGTGGTATTATGCTTTTTGGCTTTTTCCCTCTCCTTTATTGAGTTTATATCTTTTTATATCTTTTTTGTGACAAAATGCGCCTCATATAACGCTCGCCAAACGGCTAGGCACACACCTCTCCTCTCCGTTACAAACACTAACTACCCTCCAGGCAGTCAATGGACATAAAGTTGTTACTGTGACAGTGCACAGTTATATCTTTATGGATGAAAGATGCATGTGTTCCATATTAATAACTCACCACTCTGAAACTCTTGTTCCAGTCCATGTTGCTACATATATAGCTGAACCGAAGCTGTGTTTAATGGCTTCTCGCTGACCCGCCTTTCTCTGCTTCCGATTGGCTAGTAGTCCTTAACTAGGAACTGCACATGTGCAACTCCCAACAAAGACACGTAGAGGCAAGATGCATCACTCCATAGCTAAAACGAAGCCTTCAACACAGGGTGAAAAGAGGAGCTGCAGCAATGTGCAGTATGACAGAAATATATGGGGTTTTTTGAAAATGAAACCATGTAAACCTGTTCTGGTAAAACCCCTAGATAAGATTTTGAACCTGAAAATGAGCATAATACCGCCTCTTCAATTGTCTCCAGAAGCAAGTCACCAGCATACTAATGTAAATTCTTTAAATAATAGTTCAAGTTTATAAAAAAATCTGCACCCGTGTTACATCTACTACCTAATATTCCCATTATTGTAACATACAATATTCTAATAATTATAATTAAAAATGACTTTAGTATCTTCATATATGCACTTCAGATGTTTTTATTAAATATGTTCTTTTTTTAAATTATACTAAAAGCAACAAATGAAGTGATGCTGGGACCCCTTTACATTCAAGCTGGAAGCATAAGACATGGTTTCTTGCTGATATGTGTACACTTTTTAGCATAAATGAATACTTGTTACAATACTAATTCCTATGCTTCCATTGAACACTATTTAAGGAGCCTCTTAGCATCTTAGCAACCACAAATTACAAATTTCAAATTTCTATATTCTCTATTCCTGTATTGTTTAACAAAAGCATCAAGTAATCAAGACAATACTATATAGGCCTATAGGTACAGTATAACTATCATGGTAATGACTGTGATTGTGATGCATTGTAACATATTCTTAATGAAATTCTTAAGTCTTCTGCCCTGGTGTCAGGTTTGACTCGATGATGTGGAATATCCATGATTCTTCTTTTTTGTCTATTCCCTGGACAAAAAAGGAAAAGATCTAAACCTTTTCTTTTCGACTGAATTTACATCTTCTGCTCATTTCTCCTGCTTTCTTACCAAGAGAATTCTAATGAAGGGCAAAGTCAGATATCTACAGGGATACAAGAGGACCTGGAGACAGGAGAGAATGCAGCCACTGATGGCAAGACATTTCCATAAAAGTACAATCAGGTTGGAATTTTAAAAGTGAATGTTTAAGTAGTCTAAGAGATGGGCTTTGATTCACACTCTGATCAAACCCAAGACATCTCATTCAGAGAATAATGATTTTTCTCCCTTAATTTTTCTCTGTTTCTATCTCATCTGTGAGCTTACAGGTAGAGCAAAGCCCAATGGTATTGTTTTCCCTCCAGTGCTTGAGCACAGGAGCCTTTCTTCTGCCGGATTAGACATGGCCAAAAAGAATGGCAAATGTAGATATGCCACAATATTAGTGGTTGGCTACACAGTGAAGAGTCAGGCCCAATCCACTGAATGCATTTCATGTTCCCTCCAACACTGGATTGTAAGTAAATAAATATCTATTTTTATATATTTTCATCTGAAATGTGGAAGAAAACAATCTTCCTTTTGTGCATATGTTCTCATGCATATGAGGATGTGACTGAATATCCAATATCTATTGTTGTTGTTCACAGGAATGATGGATAATACAGCGGTGTAAAGAAAGAGAAATTGCCATGTCAGAAAAGAAACAATTTGTGCCATGGTTTTAACCAGCCCCACCCCCATAAAAATAACCCTCTATATATGTTATAGGCAGAAACATGAAGCAATATAGCACAGTTTCTATAATACTGTAATAAAGTACCATTATCTGAGTAGTTCCATTTAGTGAGGCTTTTCTAAACCAATAATTGAAATGGAAATTGAAGTCTGTCAGAGGCCGCACACCTCTGGAGCAACTAGGGCTTAAATGTCTTGCTGAGGGACACATTGGTGGATGTTGCAGTGGGAACTGAACCCCGGTTTCCCACACCATAGGCATTATGCTTATCCACTGCACCATCACCACCCCAGGAGTAAGGTTTTAAACATTCACTGCATGATAAGGTCATGAGGTATCAAAGGTCAAGTCACACAGCAAAAATGAAGAACAGTGCTACAGCAGCTCAATTTACCCTTTGCTAAGCCACGCCCCCTTAGTTACTGTTGCTAAGTCCAACAAACTGTCAGAGCTGTCGGACTTTTTGCATGGTGCTACCACTGTCTGTAACTGCTCTCCCTGGAGAAATATTGCCTAATTTCTGGAAAAAGCGATCTCAGAAAGGAGCAGACAGTTCTGCAGTTGCGTTATAGATTTGAAGGATGTATTCAGGCTGTCAAACTGACGTGAAAAAAATAAAGACAGAAACTAAAGCCTACCGATCACAGCGTAAAAGTGAACCACCGCATGACCTGACTATTGAGAAAGAGGACAACAATATGAGGGATTAACACTTTTCCTGCAAAGCTGGGTAGGTCTCTATTCACTATTACAATCATTAAAAAGCAGAAGAGTAGTGCTTTATTACGTTACATTCAACAGTAATTTAGCTAGCGTTAGCTAACTAACATTACATGAGGAGCAATCCACAGCCTCCATTTTTCTGGATTTGTTTTAATTTTTGGAAAGGGAATAAATCGTACTTCTCTTTACAACCTCTCTACAAGAGTCAATGGAGCGCAGCCATGAAAGTATACTGCACTGTGATTGGCCAGCTGCGTGTTCAGGGCATGGCTTAGCGAAGAGTCAACTGATACAACAGCCAGAAACAACATACAAAAAGCGAAGGCTATATTACTTTAAATAATTCAACATATTCCATCATTAAACACTGTAACTTAAGGCTGTTTCATTTTAACATTCATATAAAGGAGTTAATACTTCTCCTTTTACTTTGGAATGAAGGGCTACTTATTTAGTGTGTGTGTCTGATTTTTGAAAATCTAAATAAGAGAGATTTACTCAAAACATCTGTAGTAAAATGCATATTGCAGACTCTTCGAGACCATCTGTTGCCCTACATTGTCTATTAAGAAGCCACGTTGCAACGCTTAGTATGTTTAACTATACTGACCCAGCATTTTTCTCCTCACTTGTGTTGAAGTAAACTTTGTTTTAACTAGGTATGAGGTTTGTAGTGCACAGAGTGTAGGTCTATACATTTTCAGTTTCAAATGGGATCTGTCAGACATGTGTGTTTTTGCTGCAAGCTATTACTCTTTCATGGCCCCTTTTTGGAGAGAAGGTTCCTGACCAATTATTTTCAGACAGATGCAGGGATGCAGAATGACTAGAAGCATCAGTTTTTTTTTCCAGGTGATGCCTTAGGTAAGGGGAGAATGGCCAGAGGCTACAGCAGCCCTCTAGGGACATAGGGGGCTTATAAACTGTGAAACTGACATCTCTCATCTATTACTTTTGCTAAATAAACATTTAAAAACCTTGACAGTCCTCTACATGCTTTTCCCAACTTGTATATTTAGCATTTTATAAATTTGAAGTCATTTTTGAAGTATCGACTGAGTATAATGTTAAGAATAATCACTGATCCAAGGATGAATAAAAGCACTCAACTGAGTGTACCTCCTCATCTGCACGCTTTCATATTTCTTTTAATACACCTTATGTTACTTTTATGCAGTACAACTTTCCAAAATCAATACACTGTACACTTTCAGGATGAAATATTTTTCATCATATCAATATTCACTTCCTTTACAAGCCAGTTTTCACCTATGTCTATCAAAGGGAGTTTGTTGAAGTGATGCTGTTGGCATCGTGAAAAAAATAAAAATAAAAACACCTCTCTTATTGCCACCATGCAGGTTCCCTTGATGTCTCTCCCAAACCAAAAAGCCTTGCAGGGTGCCTCCAGAAATGTTCCTTCAGTCACAGGGAGGCCCGTCACGGGTCCCCTACGCAAGGTCACCATGTTTGAATGCTGTCACCTCCACTTAGAGCCAGGCAAAGCAACAGACCTCTCCCTGTAGCCTCCTCCTAACCTGTCACAGAAACTACAGTTATAATCACTTCTGGCTTGTTTTGCGATTGACTTCAGATACTCTCAGATTTATTTATTCCAGCATTCTTTGCCCTCTGCCTCATTACACTAATGTCTCGCTGTCTACAAATGGTGTTGTTTTGTTGTATGTGTACTGTGCACTGTAGTTTGTGTGTTCTTGTTTAGCTTGTTGTCCTGTTTGTTTCTGCTATGTTTATGTACACTGTGAGCTTTGTAAGACCAGAGTCAAATTCCACGTATGTGTACACGTACCTGGCCATTAAAAGTGATTCCGATTCCGCCTTTAATCTCTTAATAATTTACATTTCTAAGCTTTAAACCAAACATGTACAACATCGGGTAAGTGTTTGGTTTGACTGATATTACAAAACAGTGCTCAAGCCAGCTAATGATGAAGATTCTGCATTCCCTTTTTGAGCCATTGTTGTGCACATCTGTGTTTTTGGTGGCAGCACAGGAAAAAGCCAAAGAACTCGGCAGCATCTGCACTGTAGTACAAATGCAAAACCCTACTAATTATTGGGAAAAGATAACATTTTATTAAAGGGTTTTTTCCTTTGACATAATTTTCTATTTTACAAGGAGAGTATAGATTATAGAGTGTAGCTCATTTATAGCACATGACCGATGCATTAAAAAAAGTATTTTTTCTCACTGTGACTGCTTGCTTCTTTTAAAACATATTTATATTGTAGTATTTTTAAGGATCTATAATTAAAAGAAATTTGCATTAGTTTAGTAAGACAACTTTCATTATACCTTTTTTTTATTACTTTGAAAAATGTAAACGTTCAACGGTGGCTCATTTCTAATTTCTAATACCTGTAAAGCCAAAATAAGTTGTGTTTCCCCACACATAGACTTTACTTGTGCGGACCACCCAGGTATATTAACAGTTACCACAGTAGCCTATATTTGAATCATTTTAGCATTTTGCAGATAAAGACATAGAGAGAGACATTATCTGGTATTAGGTTAGAAGAAGCAGACACAAAGGATATTTTAAAGCACGGACTGGGTAAAACAATCACATGTCATTTGGTTTCGATAGGCGATGTCACTAACAAGAAGGCTGCACCATGTGGCTCACCTGCTTCTGTGAAAACGGAATTGGATAAAATATACAGCACTGAGCCGCGTTACACTGAAATTTATTTTATTTGTGCAAAAATGCTCTCTCCAGTAGCCAAACCTGGAGCACTTTTTTATATTGAGAGAGAAGGTCCTGTAACCTTGTGCAGTTTGGAAGTAAATGGTTAAGTTATTTAATAGTCAGTGTTTTGTTATGAACACGGAGGCAGGTCAGATCGCCTAGAAAATTGTAACCGGTGCTCATTTTTGACAGAATTGAAAATCATACCATTTCTAAATACTGATACCCAGCAACCTTCCCTGTCTCTCTCTACTATGACTTTCAATAAAGCAGATTTTTTTTCTATCTAAAAAAAATCATTATGGTTGATTTAAAAGCAAACAATTGTTTGTGTCTTTAATCATCCAGCAGACATAGAGTAATATTTTAATCCCATTGAAGTCCTGCGTGAGCTATGGGGTGCGCAACAGAAAAAAACGTAATGGTGGTGTAGTAGTGTAAGAACTACAACAATTTTTTTTTTTTTGTGGAATTTTTCACAAACTAAAAAGCCTGAATTGAAAACTTGCCTTTGTAAATTTAATTTAAAATTAAAAACGTTATTATTAGTTAGCTCACAGGAAATGGCTACTCACACACCTCTTTCCCTCTCCCCTCACTCTCTCTCTCTCTCAGGCTGAGCCAACCGCGCTGTACTTACATATCGTCATATGGATCCTCTTTTGGTCCATGTTATCGGTTTATGAGGCTATAAGGTGCGATTTGCAACATATTTTATATTACGTATTACGTGTTACGTATTATACTTATATATAGTTACGTAGTAACTAACGTAGGTAAGATCATAATAGGCAGAGCAGTATTTGTTTTAATTTTCTGTGTTTGATTTTTACAAATTGTAGTGGTGTTGGGGAGGAAATTTTAGTCTAACAAACTTTTGATTTTATGGTAAATGATCTTTGAGAATCTATATAAAGATAAAATAAGAAGTAAAACTTTTTTACAATACGAGGGCTTAAAGGGCCCTGATAATTTGCTACTAACCAAAGTGATAAAAAACTAACTTCATCTGATGCTTGGTAGTGAGCAGGTAGGGAAAAGCTTGTTTGCTACCAAACTAGTGAAAATGAGGTTATTGAGAACTGACTAAACCAGAGAGTTAATGTGCAGACAGAAAAAAATATATATAATGAGCTACAATAAGGTTAAAAGGTTTCATACTGTAGACCTAAAAGAAAAATTGATTCATGGAGCTATAAATAACAGAAGCTAAAGATAGAGACTGTCAACAGTCTGGATGTTTTTAAACTAAAAAGCTGTCTCAAGATCAGTTTGCCAGGGTCAAATGTAAATAAATTTATATTTCAAAATGATATGAAACATCAAAAAAAAAATCAATGTTTTTAAGGTCGTCCTTATATCTGGGACTACAGTTGTTATTTGGGTGCCATTAATTATTCAGCACACCCCAAGGTATACACAGAATGTCTTGAGAAAACTAAAGCACAAAAGCAGGACAACACCATTCCCTAGTAGCCCAAATGAAGGACTGATTTTCACTTACCAGTTATTCTAATTTGGACAACCATCAACCATTGTTGGGACAATGAAACAGTCCCCCAGTTTGTCCACTTAGATCTGCTGTTCCACTCACAAGCAGTATTAATCCAACTAGAGGTAAACAGACTTCAGCAATTCAAATTGACCTCTAGTACTCAGGAGACAATCTCTAATCAATATTACTTCACTGCATGCCTTTAGAAATGCATAAGCATTTGCAATTATGATAAGCATCCATGAGAATACCGCAGCTCAGTAAGGCAGGACATACACTAACAAAGGGCAATGTTTATAAAGCACATCAGGCCTCTGCGCGATCCAAACATCATTTACACACAAACTCCCTCTTGATTCAAACCTTTGTTATTAGTCGAAACATCAGACTTTCTCTACGTCATCGTACACAAAGTAACACCAGATGATAGTGTGAAAGGTTACAACGATTTGTAAAACTAGTCCAAAACCTTACTGCAAACACAACTGTAATGGAAATCAATCAAGTGCAGCACAACACATGCTTTGTTTCTTCACACCCCGTTGAACACTTGAGTGCTCTCAGCCCAATTCTGAATGCTAGCCAGTTCGGCTAAACCACTCCTGAATCTGAACAGACTGTGCTATTGCTTTGCCCGGCGCAGTAGACCACAGTGTGTAAGGTTCTTATTACTGAACTACAATCAGGACATTCAGGTTTCCATGAAATCTGATTATTTCACATGACAGATCGTGATCATGTTAGGGCCCTTAAACTAGATATAACATGAAACTTGATATGTCATCAGCATCAAATGAGTTTGGTGTGGAGTGGCTGCTCTGCAGTTGCACTGGAGAGCATTATTAGGCAGAGCCACCGCATAACAATAATGTTTAAACTTAATAAAAATTATACAGTAAGATCAACTTACTTCCCATTGAAGTCCTGCGTGAGCTGTCTCTATGGGGTGCGCAACAGAAAAAAACGTAATGGTGGTGTAGTAGTGTAAGAACTACAACAATTTTTTTTTTTTTTGTGGAATTTTTCACAAACTAAAAAGCCTGAATTGAAAACTTGCCTTTGTAAATTTAATTTAAAATTAAAAACGTTATTATTAGTTAGCTCACAGGAAATGGCTACTCACACACCTCTTTCCCTCTCCCCTCACTCTCTCTCTCTCTGGCTGAGCCAACCGCGCTGTACTTACATATCGTCATATGGATCCTCTTTTGGTCCATGTTATCGGTTTATGAGGCTATAAGGTGCGATTTGTAACATATTTTATATTACGTATTACGTGTTACGTATTAAGTGATAAAAACTAACTTCATCTGATGCTTGGTAGTGAGCAGGTAGGGAAAAGCTTGTTTGCTACCAAACTAGTGAAAATGAGGTTACTGAGAACTGACTAAACCAGAGAGTTAATGTGCAGACAGAAAAAAATATATATAATGAGCTACAATAAGGTTAAAAGGTTTCATACTGTAGACCTAAAAGAAAAATTGATTCATGTATATATACATGCATATACAGTAAGATCAACTTACTTACTTAAAAAATGGGCAGAAGGGATTTTACAGGGTAATATGTATGTTTAATGCTTTATTTGTCTGAATTGCTTATTTTATATATAGGGACTATGGACATTAATTGACGTCACTGTAAATGCGCTAGTGTTAGCCAAAGTTCTTAGCGATAATGATTAACTAAATATTTATTATTATTCCATTGCAAACTAAGGGCTTGTTCAGACTGCCACTGGACACACAAATCCGATGTGATCACTTGCAACAGTCTGTCTTAATGATCTGATTTGAGAAACAAATCTGATTTGCCTAACAAAACGTGCCCTGGAAACCGTGTACTTTGACAACTTCCAAGTTTACATACAGTATTGCAACATGTGTCTTGGGGCTGGATTATTTGGACAGATAATTCTACATCCCGAGTCATTTTTCAGTACATCCTGTAAAAACACAATTTAATTAGTATGCACACAAACTCTTTTGGGGAATCACAGAAGGGACATTCCAGAGGTGGTGAATTTTAACACACAAGAGATGTCTGCAACAGTCCCTGGTGTAAACCTCAGCAGGCACAGCGTGATATTCTCAATTTAAATGAGGATAAAAAGTCAGAGCTTGAAAACTAATTAGCTAACATAAAAATGCCAACAGTACAGTGGAGCAGAAAAGGACTTAGTAGATGGTTCAATCAGACTTTTAGGTGATATGGCACCAATATTTCATTTCAGTCATTTCAGAAAACAAACACCTTAAATGGCATAAATCTTCAATGCAATCTCATGTAGCAACCAAGTTTAGACAGCCATAAATTACCCCCTATTATGGCATAACACACCATCATTATTTCTAAAAAGAGGAGGTCAAGTTGCAGTCTCCACTAATACTCAAAGGTGCAGAGGTGTGCAGTATGATCAACTTCATTTAGATTTTCCTCTGTGTGTCTGACTGAAATCCAGACCATCCAATTAATTCACTGAACAGTTTGTCTAGTCAGTTCATGTGAAGTTATGTTTACAACTCTTGGTTGGGCGATCTTCTCTATTTTGGATCATGGCTACTTGAGATCACCGATTGGCGATCTGATCGCCAGGGGGCAGTGTTAAGTGTTAAGCACGTCAGTGAAATCCCAGCATGGAAGAAACAGGCTCACTAGCTTTAACAGAAACCACCAGAGAAATCTGTAAATGCACAGTACAGTGTTTCCCACAGAATTACCGTCTAACTGTGGCGCCGCGGACCTGCTGCGGGGAGAAGGAGGGTGAAATCCATAGCAGCTATACAGCGTAACCCAGCTGTATTCTAACGTTAACATATCCGTCTCCGACATTGACAGTGTTAAGAAAATAGATAGACTAACTTCTCAGAGTTAACTTGAATGCTTTAGTTCTGGCTCCGTTTCGCTGTGTTTGTTGGGGGGAGGGTTGATATTGTGGCGTGCCGAGTCGTCACAAATAAATCAATGGCTGGGAAACACTGCAGTATGGTGCAGATTGTAGAGACTGTTTTTATGACATCTTAGTTCTGATAGTGAGTTAGTTAAAACTGCCTTAATATTGGCACATGAAAAACCAATCGCTGATCATCACTTCAGTCGTCGTTAAGTGATCCAATTGTGCATCAGAACAACCCTAAATCAGAAGTTCAACTTTTCTTTCAACTGGACCAAGGGAACCAAACTACGTGTGCACTACATGTATAGATAGACCCAAGATAAACAATCATATTTTGTTCTGTAAAAATATATTTGAGGGTGACAATATAATTACACGTTAAGCAATTACTGGCAAAAGAGAGAGAAAAATAAGTAAAAATGATTGAAGTTTGTCATCCTTAGTGTATGTGAGAAGAGATTCCAGCATTGAAACACAGCCCTTAACAAAGCTGGACAGTGTGTTTGAGTTTCACCGAGTATGGGCAGCTCCATCAATATTTAGCTTCTCCTCTACCTCACCTCTTCTACAGATAAAAGCAAGTTGAGGCCAGAGTACAAGGAGACGCCACCTCTCCCAGTGATGCTAATTATCCCTGTTTGCTATCTGGGTAGCTTGCAGGCATTCTGATTGGATTTACTTGACAAAATAAATAAATGATCGTCATAAAAGTGTAATGCCACCTCTCTGACCTTTCCCCATACTCAGGCCATGTTAGCAAAGGTATGGTGGAGCAAATATCGTTAGAATCTTTTGTTCTTGCGTTAGATACTTTCTCACTCTTAAACTATTCTTGATACCTATCAGGGAAAACCTTGTGTGTGTTCCTCACTGAGATTTTCCCCGCTGCTTCAAGTTACCCTTTCTGTCTTTGATGATAGTTAAGACTGTTAAGATATATTTGAAATAAATACACATGATTGGGTTTATATACCAGAGCAGGATTTGGCTGGGCGCTCGTGAGTATTCACACACCACAACACTATATGTAGGATAGAGCCCAATCTAGTTTTTACTATTTAAACCTCCAACAACTGATTTGGCCACTAGTGGGCAGAGGTAACAAGCTATAATTATAACTCTGACATACTATGTTATTGTTGTTATGATTATTATTATTATTATATTTCACAGTGCAAAACATCCTGTCACACACTAGTAGTGATGATTCATTATTAATATAACATTTTTCATTACAGCTGCTTTAAAGTGACATGACACCCAAAATGTTTGATTATCAAACACACAGCCCCTGTTGGCACAATGCTGTGGATATGATCGAACCAAAATGAAAATCTGTTTCAGCCGACAAGAAAAATGTTGGTAGGGATATTTCAGGTTAGGTTTTAGTTATCTGTATCATCCCCACATAATTCTAAACTTATGCCTTAAAAAAAACACTTTTAACCCAGACATTTTGACTTTATATTCACATTAAAAAGCACGGGTGTTACTAATAACATTAACGCTGGCTCTGTTCCGTTAAAGTGTTGTAGTACACCATGACATCTAGGGATGAAACGATGATCGGTTCAACGGTAAACCATGCTAAAATTCCTGACGGTTATTATTACTATACACGTTTTAATTACCATGATATCTGGGTACGGTTAACCGTGCTGTTATAATCTCACGGCAAACACTGTCCTGCGTCTCCCAGAAGCAGGCGCACATGCGCAGAATGCAACGTCGGTTTATTTGGGTCAATGACAACAAACGCTGGTAAAAACGCTACGCTTGTATTTGTAGTTTTCAATATAAAACTTGTTGAAATGGTTTCAGTGAGTATATCAGTACATTTTAATCTTTTTCTTCTTATACCGTGATAATAATGATAACCGTGATCATTTTGGTCACTGTAATTGTTATATGAATTTTTCATACCGTCTCATCCTTAATGACTACATGGGACCGGTGAGCCAACATGCACAACATCAGGAATCTGAAAACCAGGCAGCTAAACTGAACTCAAGCCATAATGCATTTGATCAATTACATTTGTGCCAAAATGTCTTATACGCAAAAAAGGCCTACTGAAAGCCAAAGCCATTGCTTGAGAGAATGTGAAACAATTGGGCGCATGACTTGCTAAAGCAAACTACCAAATAACATTTAACATGAAACATTTTGGTACTCACATGTGGGTGGAAGGTTAACCACAGGGACAGGCATCCATACGTCCATACTTCCCACTGTTCCCAGGGTCCGAGGACAGCTTCTTGGTCCTGTTTAATTAACACATATGTCAGTCTCCTTAGTCAGTTAAATCTAAAGCTATTCAACACATCCATGAGGTACTGCAGTGACCTCACTATGTAGTGTCACACACCATATTGAAAGGCAGAAACAATTCACCAGGTCCACAAACAACAAATTCTAATTCATTGTTTTTTTTTTAATGAAATCAGTTACTCTTAGTTAAGTGGGACCACTTTTCCATCCTCTGACCATCTGAAGCAAATGGCATGAATGTGTTATCTATAATGCCCCTAGTTAATTGTTTACATGTTAAAATAATGTTTTCATGTAGTAAACTTTACTAAACTTTGGTGACATCTGTTATGTTGCAACCTAGAGAAGAATCCCACTACACTTCGAAGTAATAAAAAACTAATGAAAACTTAATCATAAACATAATGAGTGACTACTGATGTACCCACACCTTTCATGTGGCACATTTGTTGGGAGCGGCTATGGCTCCGGTGATAGAGCGGGTTGCCCACTAATCAGAAAATCAGTCAATCCCCGGCTCCTCCAGGCTCCATCTCGAAGTCCTTGGGCAAGTAACTGAACCGGACTTGCCCCGACGGCTGTTCCATCGGTGTATGAATTTGTGTGAATGTTAGTTTCTGTTTGAGCACAGAGGCTCAATGTATGAATGTGTGTGAATGGGTAAATGCGACATAATATAACAGCACTTTGAGTGGTAAGAAGACTAGAAAGGCACTATAAAAATACAGACCATTTACACTCATCTATATGTCTATAATTTCCATTGAATCCAGGTTAATCCCACAGTTTGTTTCTTTAGCTTCTACAACGTCGTCAATGACCAAAAAAATTCTGCAACAAGTAGTTTAGTTAGTTCAACGTCTACATTTTCAAATGGCAAATCCAAATACTTGGAGTTGGATTTTTAAATATAAAAGTCATCAACATAAATATAACTGCAAAGCCTTGTAAACTCTGTGGGCTATAAAACTGTAACAAGTTTAAGCAAAACAATGGCTCCTCTACACCACACTGTTCTTTTTAATTCCCTAAGTTATATCCATAAAATGTTATCATATTTAAAGAAATGAATGCAATGAAATATAATAATATCTTCTATAATAATCATAGACTGAAAGATAATAATCATAATAGGCCTATGTGTAACTAGCTACCACAGCACACACCATTAGCCTGTTACATTCAGTATGCTAGCAGGACATCACCTTCAGGGCCTCACTTATATGTCCTCAGTAACAGTGAGCGTAAGCTTGCTAATTCCCAAACTGTAACTCTAACTGGCCAAGAAAGTTAGTAGTGTAAGCATTAACTAGCATACACATTTCCGTACCTTTGACACAACATCTGTTGGCTAACAAATGAAAAGCTATGCTAACAATGCAACCTGCTAACAGTGATTTTAGCTTTATTTCAAACTATCAATTTCACATGCACGTATTTACATTTAGACACGTTCACATCACTGATTTGGACTGCTTTCAGCTTGACGTTGTCATCTTTACAAGCCAACCCCTCCCCTTCACCTTAGCAGCCAGGTGATGGAGTTCTCTTTTCTTTTCTTCTTCTTCTTCTTCTTCTCAGGCGGTTTGGGCCCCATTTCATTAAATTCAGCTGAATTCAATAAAACTATAGTCTATATTAATGATACCAATAAAAACTGGATTAAAACCAACAAAACAATTTTTTCACACAGTTGAAATAATGTTTTAATTTGCATTCATTTTATTAATACACTCATGCAATACACAACCATACCAGAATAACTGCCTTAACTCCAAAATTGCTTCTTTGTTCCTTAAGATAATTAACTTAAAAATGTAAAATAAATATTTACTATTGCCGTGACTGTTAAAATCTCTATTAGAGTGAAAAAATACACATAAAACATTTAAAATCATTAGAAGAAAATCCAATTGCAGTTACATCCTTTTGCTAATGTTTTATGTAATATTTAGAGCCCCCACAAAAATTGCTTAGGCTATGTTTATGCACTTTGTATGCTTCCACTCTCAAGACAGATGCAAATAGTTTCAAATAAATAACATCCTATATGTTTAGTCGAATACAAGTAATAATGTTTGTTTAGCAAACAAACATTGTAGCATGTCAAGTTTTTCTCTTTTTTTTATATAAAACAGGTGTTTTGAAATTTAATTGAGACAGGATTATGTACTGTTAGGCCAAACGTCATCCTCTATCCATGGTAATTCACCATCAGATGAGATGGTCATCAAACGCAACATTTTGGCAGGGACGAAAGGAACTTGCCTCTGTGATTGGGATTGTGCACTTTGCCCATAGGCCACAGGACAGCCCCTACAAGCCAGCTTTTTTCGCCTCGCCTGCCTGTCAGTCACTCTCTTTCTCTCTGGCTCAGAGGTTCACTTTATTGTCTCTGTCAGTTGTGAGCTGGTGATTTGCCTCCACTCACTGTCACCCCTCTGTCAGGCTCTGACCGATAAAGCTAGCACCAGCGCCAATCTCCCTTCTTCAGCTCCGTTGGCTGTTCCTGGACTCCATTCCACCACTAATTAGCTCTTCAGAGATTTCTCTTCATGGAAGCAGGGGGTTGGTGGTGGGGAGTTGGGGGCTTGAGGGGTGGGGTGGGGTAAGGAGAGATGAGGCAGGAGGATGTATGTGGAGGAGTAACTCTTATTGGATATCATGGCTCCAATGGCAGTGCACGGATTCTTGTACTGATGAGATGATAGATAGATAGATAGATAGATAGATAGATAGATAGATAGATAGATAGATAGATAGATAGATAGATAGATAGATAGATAGATAGATAGATAGATAGACTGCAAAATAACTTAAGGCAAAGAGGGGCAATTAGGAGCAGAAGTCTCTCACTAATGTCCTGCCTCTGTCAGGCCAGCATGACCATTGCAGGTCTTCAGGTTATTAACATGTTGGCAGGGGTTCCTACATGAAAAGACCCCTGTTTCTTTGTCTTCTGGTGTGTAAATATTGTGCTAGCGGAATATGAAAGTAGTGCAACTATAAGGTACAAAAACATAGGGAAAAAAGATCAAGAGTGGGTCTCACATCAAGGAGGACCCTGAGGATGTCTTTGTTGTCAACTTCAGAAGGGGGAAGAGAGGAGCAGAGGAGGAAACTGGCAGAAGGGGGAAAGATGCCAGAGAGAGCTCAAAGGATTCGGTCTGGGCAAGGTGATCGGTATTCCTCGGCAGTCTGCCTTCTGGCTCAGATCAGTGGGAGTAAGCTGGCAGCCAAGCCAGAGGGCATAACAGCACAAACACACCTTCAGCACTACAGTGCTAGAGGCTTGGCTTCACAATCTGGAGGGGCGGGAGTTCGAGGGAGAGACAGAGGGAAGAGCGGGAGAAAATAAATACACTGTAATTATCTTCAAATCATCAACCCCTGACATCCATTGTAAATATGTGCATGTGTGTGTGTGTGTGTGCACATATTCCAGTAAAAGCCATAATGCATCACCTACTGTTGTTTCAAAACAATGGTGCGTTAGATGAGATGCAGCCGTGGGTTATGCGTGGTGAAGGTACTGAGGTCACCAGTCAGGCAGACTCATCCTCAGGCCAGCGATGTCGTATCTACTCACATCATCACCTCTCTCTTGGATGAAATCCAAAAACCCTCAATGACGTGACGCATGGAGAGACTGTACACCTCTTCAAGGACTTCCTACCACCATGCTGGGACACAAGCCTGACATACAAGCCTGACACACTCCTTGCATTAGACACCTACATGGCCCTGTTACATCTCTGACTAAAGGTCTAACCAGGTACCTGATGGGTGGGCAGAACTGGGCAGGGCACACCAATGAAGTGCTCACACACCCACAAAGTGTTGTGACAGGTACCAGATGTCCTGGCAAAGGCCAACTGTCTCCACGGACAACCACTTCCCACACACACACACACACACACACATTGCATTTGGCCTTGATGAGCATTCCATGCAGTGCGTGTCCCAAAGCACCTGCGGTCTGACACGCAGTAAGTGGATTGTCCATTCTGCTGTCACACTAATGCCCTGCTACACACATTTAGCTTCATACCCAAGCAAAACAAATGTCTCCTGATATTATGAAGGTTTTGGCCACCCGATGATGAAAAAATGAAGAACAATATTCTCACACAAGTCGATTAAAATGTTTTGTCTGTCTGGCAAAAACACGACAACAGAGCATTTTCTTGGCAATTGAGGGCTGATGCAATCGCCTCAACATAGAAGTCAGTTAGGTTTATTCTTAAACTACGGCAGACACCTTCACCTCCTCATGCCCTCAGATAAAGGCAACGTAAGATTTCAACAATTTTCCCGCAATATCGTAATTTTTTCTTTTCTTTTACTTTCTGAACCCCACGTTTTACATCATGTGCTCACGTGGCACCGCTGACCAAATTGATGCCTCCCCAAATTTAAATAGTACACTAACATCTTTAATTCTCTGTTCACAGATATTAATTACAGTTATAAAGGTATGTCACCTAGTGAATTAGTGGCTTAGTGAAAGCTAAAAAGCATTTTTCTTAATGTTCACTTTTCTCAGAACAAATCAGAACTTTACAAAAGCACTGTGTCCAATTCAAGGTATATTTTGAAATAGTGTACATTGGTCCTTCAGCTGGTCAGTACATTATCACTGCAAGCATGCAAAACATTGATTATTCTGAATTACTAATTAAATGTTAAATATACTGGGCATGCTTTAGGTGAGAGTCCCATCAAAACAAAAAGAGCCCTGTCCCATAAATGTACAGACTGAATGTATCTGTGTAGATTTATAATTTTCGGGATGGATATTGGCCACAAACATTAAACAAACTTGGTTTAAGTAAATGTTAAATTTTAAAACTATTTTTTAAATTTCCTCTTTCACTATTTATCCCAAATATAATTCTGTTCTCATGGAGTTAGACCTTGAGTTTCTGTCAGGACTGATGTGTAGAGTAACTAATTTAAGAGATATGAATACATTTTTGATGTGCTAAATCCAATACACCCTTAATGATGAATAATCTTCATTATTATTCTATGTCTTGGATAATGTAGTGTTGTAATTGATCAATATGATGCCATCCCGAACCTTCAGTAATGTCTGTGGAGATTTTCAAGAGCATCACTCTTCAAGGCTGCGGTGAAGACGAAACTAAACTATCACCCGATGTTTTCTCAACTTGCATTGCCATTCTGCTTATGCTTTTCAACCTCATGAACAGATCATAACCAGCATCTTTTTCTTGGATGGAAAGGAGAGAGAGAAGTCCTTGCTGTTTTAATGTTTTAAGTGGAATCTTAATATGTGTTTTTCCTCTTCTGAACAACCCTTATATTTCCTGCTGCACAAGGTCAGCACATTCATATGGCCAGAGATGGAATTAAATAAATAACTGCAAGAAACAATTAGCAATGCATCGATAGTCGGATCAATAGTGATGTTGGTAATTATCACTTTTGGGATATGGGAGATGGTCTTTCCTTATTGATGCTCTCTAATTCACGGGTATAACCTCAGGGCCTGCAGAATAAATCAAAACACATCAAGGTAA